CTGTGACGGAGGCGCGGGACCCGAAGCTTTCTAGATGGCCCCAACCATTACATCAGATTTGATAGACCACAAATCCTCGCGAAAAACATCGATTCCTACCAAGGATGATACGTGAGGCTATTGAAATTAAAAAGCATCCTAATTTCAACAGAGAAGGAGGCTGGGTACTACCACCTGCTTGGGATCCTATAATTAATAAAATTAAAACTAAACCCAAGCATACCACTGCAAGACTTCAAAATACAGTTAGTTCATTCTGCGTAGATCGGACCAAAGACAATAATTAAAAAGCTGAAGGTATTCCGGGTTAACTTTGACATCGGGACGTCAGTCACCTCAGTCCCCCGTGACCATGGGTGCTGGAAAGCATCCGAAACGTCGGCTATTAAAATTAATATAAATAAAACGCGATAAAATCCGTAAAAGTAGTTTTAATCAATATAGAAAGTTCATTACTTGTATAGTTGCCTATCTTTACTCTTTGAGTCCGGTCTGAAAGGTAGATACGGAATAAATCAAGTTGAGAAACCCTGATACCTATATTTTCTAGTTTTAATAAGAGAGTATTGATGGGAACCGTATTAAAAGCCTTAGCTAAGTCCAAGAATATTGTAAGGACTTTTTTGTTGTCGTTAAGCTTACTTACAACGAAAGTAGTTAATTCGTGAATAGCGTCAGAAGTGGATTTATTTTTACGAAATCCAAACTGTTGGGAAGAGATTATATTACAGTGCTCCAGATATTTTGCTAGTCGCCTGTTGATCAAACGTTCCAAAACTTTGGATGAAGCACTAAGTACCGCAATGGGGTACTTTTAAGGCGTACTTTTTAGGGGCGATAATTATTAATGAGATTCGCATCACCAGTCTTGAAAATTGGATGGATTATAGCCCTCTTGAAAGAGGTAGGAAAGACAGAAGATTCTAGACAGAGATTATAAATATGGGCTAGAACAGGTACGAGAATAGGGGAGTATCGTTTTAAAAAACTCGGTGAAATTTCATCTCATCCGGTAGCTGCATTATGTTTAAGCGAATTAATAAGTGTTACGTTGTACGTGGTAGAGCCATTTGTACGTGGTAGAGCCACGCTACATCTATAATATAGTTGTAGCACGAATGGGTCGGCTCGACCGGGGAAGGACCACGCTCTCACAGAATACCAGCTTGAAATGAAATAGTAGCTTAATGCTGCTGTATTTCGTATGGTGAGTGTAGAGATTCGGAGTCCCATGTACTGGATACGAGGCATTCCATCTTAGTCCTCATGGGTGATAACGCATCTACGTTTTGATTCGTAATCGAGGATAGATGTAGATGTCTATGGGCCACAGCAACCACTTACCATCAGGTGGACTGTGTGCTCGTTTGTCACCCCATCCTATAAAAAAAAGTAATTTAATTTCATCAGTGTCCGTGGATTCTAAAACAAAAGATGACAGATTAGATTTTACTAGAGTGGTTCCTTTTGGTGGAACTGCGCAATTGCTGTCGTTTTTTGCACTAGCTCCTTCCCGATGTTGATAAAGAACTTATTAACGTTATTACACGACTGAGTTGGTGAGAGAGATATAATTTATTTGTTATCAAATAATAATATTACACTTGTAGTAATCTCTTGAACTTACCTATCATATATATGCTTAGGTAATCTAAAAAAATCTAAGATTATGAATCATGGCAATTCAAAACTCATTTTGTGTAAGGGATTTCCCGTCAAATCTGTTTCGCTTGCGCTGCGCATTTGTTTAGTTTGTCACTCGTGCTGAACTTGCTTGATGTAACGTCGATCGGTGTTTTAATTTTCGTAACGAGAACCAGTGCTTACGTAGGATATTCTTTCTTACCTAAAAATTTTGATTGAATTAAAGACTGGTTGTAAAATGTGGCTCAAAAATAAAAACAACTATGCCAAATCAGGGGTAAAAATCTCTCTGTTTGGCGTTATTTTGAGAAGGAAAAAAACAGTGCAAAATGTTTTTGTGTAATATAAGAATTAGTAGAACAGCAAAAAAAGCAGGAACAACGGCCTTGCAGAATCATTTGAAAATTAAACACCCAGGTTATTATAATTTTATTTATATTTGGTTACGCCTATATCCTTTACCTTACAGGGTAGGCAGAGCGTTAGTTAGCCATGAAGCTATTTCGCGCCAATTTTATGTCGTGTGCCACGCTAGCGCAACGCGACTTGCGTCTGTGATGAGCGGAAAAAACAACAATACGAGAATAACGGGAAGTGCCACGTTGGCGAGTCCAGCGCACGCGTCCGGCGACCGCGACCAAAGGAGGGTCGCGCGTCCAGCGTGTAAATCAAATGTGTTGATTTTTCCGAGATGCAAAACATAAATACGGAGACATTTATTAGCGAAATTATTTCTCAGTATGCAATATGGTCTAGTAAGCATGAAAATTATATGCATTATGCATTATATTATATTTCTCAAAAATTTGTGAGTATTGACGTATTTTTTCAGATGTGATACCTAGAACAGTTTCATTAATCATATACCTAAAGAAATATGCGTTGATTCAACAAACTGAATATGTTGATAATTTGAGAAAGACGTTAGTAGTAAGTATGGAAGTCCGTTTTTACTTGGAGGATCTGTGCTCTAAAGACATATAACTTGTCAAGAGTTTTTTAACAAGAACTTTTTCTTTGACTCTGCCCAAGCTGATCGGGTACATAGAGTTGCGCTCAGAGAAGGTATCAAACTTTCTTTCGGTTACGATGAAACTAATGATTCCGATCCAGAAATGGCGTCCAAAAGAAAGGGTTATCGTTTCAGAAACCCATGAACTATTTTGATCATGTTTCGAAGAATTATGAGAACAGAGTAGCCTAATGAAGAGCAACCCAATAATGCCATTGCTGATGAAATTGCTAACTACATCAGGTTAGAAAAAGCTGTAAGTATAAACCCATATGAATGGTGGCCTTTGAGTAAACAATAAGTAAGCTTGCTAAACTATACTTAGTCACACCAGCAAGCTCTTTTTATTCAGAAAGAGTATTTTCTGAGGCAGGTTTGGTTTACAAAAATAAAGCGCAACCGACTGGATCCCAGTCGTGCAAAAAAATTAGTTTTTTCTGCACCACTATCTACCTCTTTTAGACTTTGAATATTAATTAAATATTTATTAACATCCATATGACTGATTTTTGCTAACTTTTATATTTTAATGATGATTATATATTAATACTATGGGACAGTTAGCCCAACTCAGAGACGTTTGATGATTACTTAAGCCGTAATAACTTCGTAGTGAATGATTTTGACAGGTCAATTTGTGAGTTTATGTGAGTCAAGGCGTATTAATTTTCAAAGATTTGTTTGTTGCAACCAAATTATGATGTTTTGAGAATGTCATATGATGAAGAGGTTATTGCTTTTGTGGACTATGCAAGAACATTTAGAGAACCAGGACCAAGACGTTATTTTCGTGAATATTCGGATCCATTACAGAAGTATATCATTTTACCTCTCACGCAATAAAAATACCATAATGCCAATGTAAGAACTATATTTAAAAAAACCTAGCAACAAAGGTCTGCCGTTTGCTCCAGAAATAATTATTCTCGTTACGTTGAGATACTATTCTACTGGAAGTTTTCAAGTAAGTAAAAAAACTGTGTATATAACACACGTGTTTTATAAATTATTTTATATATATAGTAATATAGTAAAAAAAACTGTACCCATCAGGGTTTCGTGGGTCTTATTAAAAACCCTGTATCCCGGGTAATGCTCTAACACTTTTCCTCGCCGCTCTAGTTGCTCTCGATAAAGCCGTGCCGCTAATGCGCCGTTTCCTTGGGCAACGCCGTAGAAATAGTGCATCTCTGCGTATTGACTGAGAGAATAACTCATTGCTGAAAGTAATCAGAATCACTAAGCAACTCAAGGTCCATAAAACAAGCACAGATCAATCGTAAGGCAAAACAAGAATCCGGGAAACAAAGCGAAGGTAGTCAAATAAGAGATCCAAATAAAACGTAAACGTGAGTAGTGGTTGCACGTGGGAAAGCAGTGAACGACTGGCGGGACCGAGCGAGGTGAAAAAAGGGACGCGGTCGGTGTGGCGCGGGTCGCGGGGTGCGGCCTGGTAACAAAATGGAGCGCAAAGAAGGAATGTTTACCTGAGCCTTTGTTTAAAATTCCTTTGTGTGTTTGTGACTGAATCATTTAGTTTCAGTGAAATAAAAAAAACATGTAGTTTGTTGTAAAATGATACCTTAATAAATGTCACGTTTTAACAATAAGTAGTTTTCTTTGCTAACCTGAAGCATTTACTATCTTAGTTTAGCCCTAGAAATGATAAAAAGATTTTTTAAATCAAATTCAGGTAGTTTCGTGCCTGATTAACTTCAGAAGTCTGTAACAGAAAAACTGGCCTATTAAGTGTCATTTTTTATGTTATTATGAAAGATTAAGGTACTGCCAAGTTTTTAAAATTAATTAGAAAGTATGAAATCATTTATTACTATTTTTCATTTAATGTTGAAAATTCAAGCCCCACTCTCCTGACAATTTTTTTGTACTTGTACTTTCGGTGAATGTTAGGAAGCTAATTATTTTATGCATAATAGGGCAATTCATAAGGATCATGCTAGAAACAAAAAAACTTGGAAAAATCTCACAATTACATTTTTTTTTAAGTTAGGCTGTTTAGGGTGAACATTTTCAAAAACAGGATAAAAAAAATCATAACTCGAAAACTACAAAAAATCGCGGAACATACATAGGGTATTTTCGGATACCCCTAGGTGTGAGGAATCAAAAAAATTTTATAAGCTCACTGTTTGGACCACCCAGTATATATATATAATAAAAGTATTATATATACATATATATATATATATATATATATATATATATATATATATATATATATATATATATATATAATACTTTTATAAATTATTGCTGCACAACCTTGTCAATATATCTGCACACATTACTGTATAATATAGCAAGGTGCACAAATACAGGATACATGACTGAATTAAGTAAATCTATCACTTATGCAAGTAGGTACTTATCTGGTTTCATGTGTGTGTCAGTATCAAGAATTAGAACTGCTGTGTCTAATTCAATATATATTGCAATATATTGCACTTCAAATGAAAATGTTTGTAAAATTTCCATCTACAGTTGAAAATATCAATCAAGTGAAGTATGTTCGTAATATAAACATATATATTCAACATACTTTTAATAGTAACATACTAAACTTCTGAATATTTCTTGCAGACAAAAGTTTTATGAACTGGCACAATTTCCTGGAGTGATGGGAAGTATTGATTGTACACATATTAAATTAAGAAGTCCTTGTGGAATGTCTTCTGAAGTGTATAGAAATAGTAAGGGGTTCTTTTCAATCAATATCCGGGCAGTAACAGGACATAATTTCGATTTTTTTTTGATTTGTTTGCACGATGGCCAGGGAGCACACATGACAGCTTTATATATAATAGCAGTTCTGTCAAATAACGGTTAAGCGTTGGAAATTTACAAGAACAGAGTATGCTACGGAGTATGGTATGGAGACACATTGAATATGCAGTCAGCCATGTGTTGCTAACACTTTTTCTGTCACCTGATAGCATGGAACAAGAACTGTATAATAGAAGTCATATTATAACATGGAATACTGTTGAGAGGACCACTGGAATTTGGAAAATACGGTTCCCTTGTCTCCAAGTAGGAATGGGAATCAAAAAAGAAACCGTTGCGGCAGTGATATGTGCATGTGCCACACTGCACAATAATATATCAATAATATTGGATACACAGATTCTCTACACTCTATTGTGAAAAGTCAGAATGTATCAAAAAAAGCACGTATGGCAATTCACAATGCTGTATTAGTCCCTACTTTTACGTATGGTAGTGAAAGTTGGGTGTGGCAGAAGAAGCACGAGAGTAGAATAAATGCAGTAGAAATGCGGTCGCTAAAGAGTATGTTAGGGCTGAATCTGAGTGACAGGGTGAGAAACTGTGTGATAAAAGAAGAGTCTGGTTTGCAAGATGATGCGGTGACCAGGATTAAGAAAGGAATGCTTCGGTGGTTTGGTCATGTAGAAAGAATGAATGCGGAAAGACTAACAAAGCAAATATATGTTGCAGAAGTGAATGGAAGAGTCGGAAAGGGACGTTCTAGGCGGAAGTTTTTCGAACAAATAGGCGATATACTAAAAATGGGCCAAATTAAGAGTACCCTTAACCGACGAGCATGTATGCGTAGGTATATGGATGTAGAAGAGGCGAGGAAAGTATGTCAGGAACGCGCTAAATGGAAGTCTGTAGTCTCTGCCTACCCCTCTGGGTGACAGGCGTGAGTGTTTATGTTTGTTTTATGTTGGATGACGTCGTGATGCCTGCTAGTGATGATACTGATGACATTATAATCAATAACATGGATAATGTTCCTGTACAAGAAAACTCCAACAGTAATGATTTCTTGGTCAGACAATCTGTTGTGAATAGATTTTTTCCCAATGATTTTTTTATAGGATGCGGTGACAAACGAGCACACAGACCACCTGATGATATATGCCGTGGCCCATAGACATCTACATCTATCCTCGATTACGAATCAAAATCCAGATGCGTTGACAATCGTGAGAACTCGTTTCCAGTAAAAAGGGTCTCCGGTTCTCTACACTCACCATACAAAACGCAGCAGTATTAAGCTACTATTTTACGAAGGTATTCTGTGAGAGCGTGAGCCTTCCCTGGTCGAGCCGAACCATTCGAGCTACAACTATACTACTAATATAACTGCAGCTACAATAAAAAAACACGAACAAGATTAAAATAAAACGTAATTTAACTAATCACTTGTTTCATTTTGTAAACTGTTTTTTTTTTTATCTCCAATTCTAATGTAGCTTTCTCCTAAAGTATTTTTTTTCTGTAATTCTATCTCTGCACCTGTTTTTTGATTTCTTGGCTAGCCAACTGTAAAAGAAAATAATATACATATGTATATATCAATTTATAGTAATACAGCAATGTACAGCTATATCCTTTGGATTTGGATGACTAATCTTTATTTAGGTTACATGTGCTGTTTCTAGGGGGATAGTAGATGAAACTGCAGTGATCTGATAGTAATATGCTATCATTTATTTGATTGAGCTATTGAGACACCGTCAACTGTGAGTCTTTACTTTCCTTGAGCAATTTTACCACAGCATACATTACGCTGAATATTAGGGAATATCTTGTTATCTGTTGCAGTCAGTGCAAATTTTGCCGTATTGGTAGATTTTATGATAAATTGTGGTATCACAAAAAGTTTTTCTAGTAACTAGAAGTTTTATTTTACAGGGTCATCGACAATTTCAGAAACAAATGAACTGAGATCCAATTTATCCGATATATCTTCATCAGAGGGTTCGTCCAGATCATATAGTCCTCTGCCAGATCTTACTATAGAAAGGTAAAAGAACCGTCGTGATGAACCGGAGGAATACTTTGAGTTATTGGAAAGAAAAATGCTTAAATTATGTTACCAATTATTCCATGGTTATGAATATGAAACTGATTCTGCATATGGTTCTTTTAATAAAATCATTAAGATTGATTCTGATAAAAATATTTCCATAGATGAAAATTCGTCAATTAGGACTACTGACGATACTACCTTCAAAACAAGTTCAAATAATACTAGTGCATTAAACGAAGGTGCTATGAGCCCCGATCTCAATGAAAGCGAATCATCAGACTTGGATTTCGAATTACAACCGTTATTTAAAATAAATCAGTCGGAAAGAAACAATCAAGACTCAAACAGTTCAAATTTCACTGTGGTGGTCACTGATGATTCAGGTGAAATCGAAACTACGCGAAGAGATAAATGTGATGTCGCCACCGTCATGGCGTTCGCCGCTTTCGATTCCGCCGCTAAAAAGGTTATTCTGTTAATTTTTGACAAACATACCAATTTCCATCATTATACCAATATTTTGTGTATGATTGAGAGTACGCATAAATAGCTACTAAAGAACATATTATATCGTTTACGTGGTAGAGCCAGGCTGCAGCTATATTGTGGTTGTAGCATGAAGGTCGGCTCGACTGGGGTAGGACCGCACTCTCACAGAATACCAGCGTAAAATAGCAGCGTAATGCTGCTCTGTTTCGTATGGTGAGTCTAGAGAACTGGATACCCTTTTAACTGGAAACGAGGCATTCCATCTTAGTCCTCAGTGGTGACAAAGCAGCTGTATCTCGTTTGTCAATCGAAGACTAATGTAGATGCCTATGGGTCACAGCATCCGCTTACAAATGGTAAACTAAAATATGGTGGTAAATAAAAAATCACTTCATAAATATTATGTAATAATCTATATTGAATAAAAATCATTTATTTCATATCATTTCGTTACATTTACCCTCAGGTGGACTGTGTGCTCGTTTATCACCCTTATTCTATAAAAATATTTTGTTGTGTATTTCTACTATGAAAAAGCCTTTGATTCATTTGGGCTATGCTTCAGTCGCTTCAGCGGTGTCAAACTGACAGTCGATATATCGGGGTGCTGAATTTTTTATACAGTAGGGCTACCATGTCTATCCTAATATAGGCCCAGTGTACGAAACCTATCGAAATTCAGAGAGGTGTAATACAGAGCAAAAATGCGTATTTTTATTTTCATTGGAATTTATTATTCATTAGATTATACATTCTGGCTACTTGAGGGAATAGGACACGGTATGGGCATCTATGACAAATACAATAGTTATTGAAACAATACAGCAATATACAGCTATGTCCTTTGGATTTGGATGACTAATCTTTATTTAGATTTCATGTGCTGTTTCTAGGGGGGCAATAGATGAAACTGCAGTGATCTGATAGTAATATGCTATTATTTATTTGATTGAGCTATTGAGGTACCGTCAACTGTGCATCTACACTTTCTTTGAGCAACTTTACCACAGCATACATTACGCTGAATGTTAGGGAATATCTTGTTATCTGTTGCAGTCAGTGCAAATTTTGCCGTATTGGTAGATTTTGTGATAAATTGTGGTATCACAAAAAGTTTTCAAGCTGGCAACTTGGTTAACTGTCAAGTCAGGTTTGCCAGACGTACGAGAAATCTCGTACCATTACGAGATTTAGAGAGTCTGTACGAGATTCAATATTAACAAAAATCTCGTACTTATTTACGAGATTTTAACAATGACTACTTCTTTCGCATACCTATATCAGCCAATAAGTTAGTTTATTTAGTAGTAGTAGTAAATATGCTAATTTATTTACTTTTTCTTATCATTAACCATCCATCACAAAACGATCAACTCGGCGCATCACTAAATGCACTACCTCATCACTAAATGAAACTTGACAACTTTGAGTGGGGAATTCCCTTTCATAATATTCTTTTGTTTTTGTCCTTATTACACTAATGTTTTGCTATATTTGTGTGTCTCTCTTAATAAGAGCTATTTGTGTGTCTCTCTTAATAAGAACTAACCTTCATGTTTCAGTGCCAGAGATTCCCCTGACACTGAAACATGAAGGTTAGTTAGTACATTTTTACTTTACCGTCTGCTTTTGTTGTTGAAGTTTCGCAAGTTTCCGTGTTTTGTTATTTAACGTTTTTAATTACGAAATGAGTGACAGCAGTGACAGTGAATCGTCGTCCACTCCACCTAAAAAAGTACCTAAAAGGGAGGATGGACTGCAACGAAAAAAGGTGAGATACGTTTTGAACATCATGCACAAAAATTTCGGGATGAGTGGTTAAAACATCCGATGTTTAGAGACTGGTTAGAGCCAGACCTAAAAGATTCAAAGAAAGCGAAGTGTGCATTCTGTCCAGCAAGTTCCTTGGTTGCTGAAATAACAAATCTGAAATCTCATGCCGAATCAAAAAAAAACATTTGAAAAACAAACCTGGTTCGTCCCAAAAGTTGACTTCATTTGGTTTCAAGATGGGCGCAACTCCAAAAAACAAACAAAAGGATCGTACAGAAATAAAACTAGCTGCGTTTTTTGCCGAACATAATATTGCTTTTTCTGTTGCTGACCATTTAACGGATCTACTTAAAGACATTTTTCCGGATTCAAAATTAGTTCAAGAAATTATGCTGTAGTAAAAAATGCAATTGGACAGGGTCATAAAGCAGACTTAGCGAAGAAATTGACGACCTCCAAGTTTTCTGCGCTTACTGATGAAACTACTGACGTATCGACTATTAAGACAGATTGTATAGTTGTTCGCTATTCTGACAATGATGCTCAAAAAATCTGCAGCGTGTTCTGGGAACTGTATAAGATTTTTAAATAGACGGGCACAGATGACGTTCCTACAGCGAACGCTGAAAATATATACAGAGCACTGATGGATTCATTTAATAACTTTAATACCCCACTAACAAATATGATAAAAATGGTTTTGGATCTGATGGATGCAATGTTATGATGGGCGACAGAGATTCAGTCAAAACTCGTTTATTGCGAGATTTACCAGGGATAACAATTTCAAAATGTGTTTGTCATTCAGCCCACTTATGTGCAAGCCAGGCTTATAAAGAAATTCCGGAATCTGTAGAACAGCTTGCTTGTGAAATATATAACAAAAACAGTGACAAGAGACAGTTTGATTTTCGCAATTTTCAATCATTTGTTGAAGTTGACCTACACAAAATACTGAAACCGTCTCAAACAAGATGGCTTTCGCTGGCTGAAAAAGTCGGAAGAATCCTGGAGCAATGGGAAGCTTTGCGCTTATTTTTTTATTGATTTTACGGCGAACCCAACTCATAAAGTAAAAGCTGAGGTGAAAAATCATACAGCATCAATTTTAGAAAAACTGTGTGATCCTTTTCATAAGTTATACTTCTGTTTTTAGAATGGTCATTGCCTTTGTTCACGCAATTCAATCTAGAATTCCAAAGTGTAAAAGTTGTTATTCACAAGATGCACGATAAAATTCGAGATCTATACCAAGCAAATTCTTCTGCGTTACTTGAAACGAGAGTACGTCATGCAGCCGAATATAACTCAAGTAGACCCTAAAAATGAGCAATTCATGTAAAATGAAGCTGCAATGTATCTCGGCATTAAAGTTTATAAAATGCTAAAACACCCTGACGTAGTTAAGCAACCCCTGAAGAAAACAATATTCTTCACAAACTGCAGAAATTTCCTCAGGACTGGTGCGTTGGAAATAAAAAAACGTTACAACATGGAAGATCCCGTTCTTTCCAAACTCCAAGCTCTCGGACCAGCATCAGCTCTCTCCAACGATTTCAGAATACACGTCCCAACATTGATGCCTCTGATGGAAGGCGTGCCACGTATAATTGCATCGTTTGATGACACTAAAAAGCAACAAATAGATGATCAGTGGAGAATATTATCGATTGCAAAAGCCCGCCATCCTGCAGAGCTTAAAAATACCACAGAGCCTGATGAGTTATGGGAGATGTTACATAAAACAGAAGATTTCTTCGAATTGGCCAGTTTTGCCCTCGCAGTCTTGGCTATGCCTCATGCAAATGCAGACTGTGAGCGGGTATTTAGTAAGACTAACCTAATAAAAACAGATTTAAGAAATCGTCTTATCACAGATACAGTAAATGGTACACTTTTAGCTTCCGAAAGCGCTAAAGGCCCAAATCGCAAAGGTAATTGCGTAAATTTCGAACCATCAAAAGAAATGTACGCCAGAATGACAGCTGAAAAGCTATACTCTAAAAATAAAGATGATTTTACTAACATCCCTGATGTCGAATATAATTAATAAAAAATATGATTTTAATTGTTTTGTTTGAATTTAACAGCCCCAAGCGCAAAGAATATGATTACACAAGTTACATACATAGTACAGTAAATAGCATAAAATCATTAATTTAATTTGAGTTTCTTTAAAGGGGAACGCCCACTGTTCATAGACACTTCGGCCATAGGTGCCCACATATAAAAGTTTAAAATAATGAAATGGTTAAGGAATTGGTTAAAAAAAGTCGGAATTTTTATAATATAAAAGTTTTTATTTTCACAAATACAGTTTTTTAACGACTACTTTTACCAATTTTATTGCTTTTAATTTCTTTGACTCTTAATTCCCGACGTTTCACGTGCTTTATAGCACCCACTGTCACGGGGGACTGAGGTGACTACCATCCCGATGTCAGTATTAACATGGAGTACCTTCAGCTTTTTATTATTATTTTTATAGTCCAATCTACGCAGATTGAACTTACTCTATCTTTAATTCATTTTTTTAATTATAGTGTCCCAAGCAGGTGGTATTACCCAACCGCCTTCTCTATTGAAATTAGGATGTTTTTTAATTTCATTAGCCTCACATATCATCCTTGGTAGGAATTCCTTGGTAGGATTTTGTGTGAGTGGTGCTCTTACAAAATTAGGCAGCAGTACATTGTACGATGTATGATCTAAGCTTTGTTGTTCTAGGTTCAATACATTACTCACTTTAGATTGCAACGAGGACGGACTTGATGATTCAGATGGTTCCCGTTCTAAAGTTTAACGTGATGCAGCTTTAGCAGTCCTTCGACAGCAATCATGACAATCACACGATGACGATGGCAACTGAAATAATATTAAATTAAAAAAATAAGACAAAGTGAACAAAATAAAATAGATTTGTTTACTTTAAACTCAAATATAGGTAAAGCAAGTAAAAGTAAGTTACAGCCTATATACGTCCCACTGGGCACAGGCCTCCCATCATTTTGGAGAGGGTTTTAGGGCAAGGAAGTGTCCGCCGCGCTGCCCCAATGCGTGTTGGCGAACTTCACATGTTTTCGAAATATTTTTTTTCTTTTTGCTCAGACATGCAGGTTTCCTCACGACGTTTTCCTTCACCGCAGAGCACGTGATAAATCAAAAATATAGGTAAATGTTACTTAAAACTTAATGCCCTATATTATTAAATGATTAAGGACTAACTGACTACCAGTAGTCCAAAAACAATTAAAAATCGACTTTTTCTTGGTATTTGATAAAAATTGTCAATTTCGTAACTATCTGGTGTTAGCTAGCTAATCTTATCACCATGTTATAAATAAGCTATTATGTTTGTCAGATATAGCTTGTGCATATGTTAAAAAAATAAAATAACTTCATCATTTCATACATTCATCACTATTAAATATCAGCACTAGAATTAATAAATTAAAAACTGTTGAACACTTACTTTTTTACTGTTGTCACACTATAATGTGATCAGCAATCTCACTCCATATGAGTTCTTGAGAATTTATTTGAAAAATGACAAACAAAATAACACAATTGCGACTATTTAGTTGTGAATTCTCTAGTACCTTTTTACTTGTTGAATTGTGATTTCATTTTCATTTGCAAATTTGCAATTCGCATGACATAATTCCTAGCTCTCAGATTTGATGTTGCCACATAACTAACATAAATACAATGAAACGATATCGATTTTTATTCGATTAGTAAATTAATAAAAAAAATATTTGAGGCGCTTTAAGTTCTGCACGCTTTTTAAAATATATTTTCTTTTATTTATTTAAATTCTTTTTTAAATTTATTTTTAAGAACAGTTAAAATGTAGAGTAGCGTATTGTTATGCTCTAAACAGTTCATGGTAAATCATCTAAAAATTCACTTGTTTAATTATTTTTTTTATTTTTTTTTATAGAAGAGGAGGCAAACGAGCATGCGGCTCACCTGATTTTAAGTGACTTCCGCCGCCCATGGTCAACCGCAACAACAGGGGATTTGCAGGTGCGTTGCCGGCCCTTTAGAAAGGAGTAAGCTCTTTTCTTGAAGGTCCCCAGGTCGTATCGGTCCGGAAAAATCGCCGGTGGTAAACTATTCCACAGAGAGGTTGTACGCGGAAGAAAACTCCTTTTGAAACGTACTATGGTGGACCGCCTAGCATCCAGATGGTGTGGATGGTATCGGGACGATTGCCGCGTAGTGCGTTCACGAAATTTGGCAGCTGGGATTAATCCGAACAATTCCTCAGAGCACTCTCCATGGTATATGCGAAATAAAATGCAAAGAGATGTACCATCTCTTCGCAGTGCCAGTGAATCGAGCCGATCGGAAAGCACTCGGTCGTCGACGATTCGAGCCGCTCTGCGCTGGATGCGGTCAAGTGGAAGGAGCTGGTACTGGAGAGCCCCAGCCCAGAGATGGGAACAGTATTCCATGTGCGGCCGAACCTGCGCCTTGTAAAGTTGCAGGCTATGTAAGTTATGAAATACTGTCCCGCTCTGCTGAGCACGCCAAACTTTTTAGAGGCCAATTTTACCTTCTCTTCCAAGTGACCACGAAACTGCACGTCACTAGATATGTCAACGCCGAGGATTCCGATACTGGCTGAGGCAACAAGAGGAGTGCCTTGAAACTGAGAAGATACGACAAAGGGGTTCTTTTTAGCGGTTAACACGCAAACTTGTGTCTTCTGGGGGTTAAAGTGGACTAGATTTAGTCGCCCCCAATCCGAGACTCTGTTCAGCAAAGACTCGACTTCTCTTCTCTTCTCGACCCGAGAAATATTGGCTCGGCCGGTGTAAAGAGCATCACCAGTGCTGTCATCTGCATAGCAATGAATGTTACGGGTTTTCAACATATCATTGATACGCAGAAGAAACAGCGTTGGCGATAGCACGCAGCCTTGTGGAACACCAGCATTAATAGGCTTGCAATCGGAGCTTGCACCGTCTAAAACGACCTTGATGCTCCGATCTGCAAGAAAGCTGGTGATCCAATCGCACAATTTCTAGGGAAGCCCATAGGAAGGGAACTTCAAAAGAAGCGCTTTTGTGCCAAACCCGATCGAAGGCCTACGCAATGTCCAAACTAACGGCCAATGCCTCCCCCTTGGACTCTACTGCCTCTGCCCATCTGTGAGTTAGATAGACCAGAAGATCACCAGCTGACCGACCACAGCGAAAACCGTATTGGCGGTCACTAATCAGCTGGTGATCCTTAAGGTACCTCATGAGCTGGCAGTTTACAATGGACTCCATTGTTTTGGAGAACAAGGAGGTGATGGCGGTAGGCCGGTAGTTGGACGGGTCTGAGCGGTCTTTTTTTAGGGATCGGGTGAATGAAAGTCGTCTTCCATGATTTTGAGACCACGCCTAGGGAGTAGGAATACCGGAAAAGACGCGTTAAAACCGGTGCCAACACTGGAGCACACGTCCTCAGCACAATTGGGGGGATTCCGTCAGGCCCACTCGACTTGTGGATGTCCAGGGAGAGGAGTGCTTTGCGAACCGATCGCTGTGTGAACTGCACTTCCGGCATGGAGCACTCACACCGCGGGATGGTCGGCGGCGTACGCTCCCCGTCATCGAGAGTCGAGTTGGACGCAAGGAAAGAGCCTAGAAGATCGGCTTTCTCCTTTGCGGTATGGGCCAGTGAGTCGTCTTCCCTGTGCAGAGATGGAAGAGATTGGTGACAGAAATTCCCCTGGACAGCCTTGGCAAGAGACCAGAATGCACGGGTTCCAGAAGGAAGGCGAACTAGTTTCTCGCCAATTCTGCCTATGTGCTCTTACTTTGCCTTGGCAATGACTCTTTTGAAGGAACTAGAGGCGGTATTATACTCCTTTTTTATAGCGCTGGTGTTTACATCCCGGGACGCTGATGCGTCAGCCCAGGTTCGGTAGCACTCCTGCTTATAGCATGATGCTATTTTACAGGAGCGACCAAACCATGGCTGAGATTTGCCTCCAATGGGCACCACAGAGGAAGGAATAAAAAGTTCCATACCCTGAAGTACCACATCAGCGACAGAATCCGCAACAACGTTGGGATCATCCGGCAAGAAGCAAACCCGCCCCCAAGGGTAGGATGCAAAGAAAGACCGCATCCCATCCCAATCGGCTCACCTATAGTGCCAAACACGGCGGCAGCCTGCAGATGCAACTGCGATTTCAGCGTGAGTGGCACCACACTCCGGACAAGTCCGAGGAGCCTAAAGGAGCTTCGACGGAAATCTGATATCCGTCCGGGTGAGAGGTCAGCAAAAGGTCCAACAGGGAAGGTGCATGTTCCTCCACATCTGGAATCCGCGTAGGCGAAGTAACCAGTTGTGTCAGATCATATGCCAAGGCAAAATCATGAACATATCTCCCCGCATGATCGGTTAAACGTGAACCAAGCCATTCGGCGTGATGGGCGTTAATGTTGCCGAGGATCACGATCTCTGCGGAGGGGATCTGCTGTAGCAACGAATCTGTAGCCATTTGGACGTGGTCGAAGAGTCGGTCTGTTTCGGCATTACCGCTATGGGACGTATAGAGGCACCCGTAGACGCGCGGATGGTCGCTGCTGTCTACGCGTAGCCAAAGGATGGACAGGTCCGAACCTTCAAGTCTGCTGAGGCGTCGAGAACAGATGTTTTATCCGACGTAAACGCAAACTCCAGCCCGAGGCACGAAGGAGTGTTCCAGTTTGTACCCCGGGTAGGAGAGATACGAGATTTCAGCCGGAGAGGACACCTGCGTCTCTGTCAGAAAGAGCAGAGCCGGCCTCGCCGTCTCGAGATGGTAGTGGACGGCGTTTAGGTTAGAGTGAAGTCCCCTGATATTGCAGAAATTCACGGACAGCGTGGCAGGGATCGCCTTAGTCTGGTTGTTCCGTTTTCCCCGAGCAGTTGTAGTCTTGAGCGGAATTTTGCCCCCCCCCCCCCCCGAATACGCGGGGCAGCCTAAGCACCCACGCTCAGAAGTGGAGAAACATGGTCGTGGATTCTCAGCGAGGGATTCTCCAGGGGTTATGGTACCCTCCT